TGCAATCATTAAAGGGACATTGCCGCATTGTGGACTTTTGTAACAATTAAACTATTTTGAAAGCCCATGAAAGCAACATTATTATAATGTGTCAATACGTCATAGAGACCATACGTCATAGAGACCATGCGTCACAGAGACGATGCGTCATAGAGACGATGCGTCATAGAGACAATGCGTCATAGAGACGATGCGTCATAGAGACGATGCGTCATAGAGACGATGCGCCAAATGGCCAAACTAACGCATTGTCTCGTTGTCACATTTTGGGTAATTTTGACCCTGTTTGTTTCTTTTCGTAAGGGCGACTACGAGACATTATCCGTTCTAGGATTCCATACAGAACGCCGTTTTTTTAATAACATTGTGTCATACTATTGGGGAAGTACCAGGGATTATGGTACCTACAGTCCAGGGGTCCTGATGGGGAGAAATTTGGATTCGGACCAGGGCCATCAGACCATGCAGTTGATCCGAAGATAACATGCCCACACGCGCCCGTATCATCACAATATGAAAAATACAAATTATTGGAAATTAATTAAAACAATATACAGTCATCCTGTAGCCGTGATATAAGCATATATGAATAGCAACAGATTGCGCACTGTTTCACGAAAGTGAGCGTTTACTGGCCCATAAATTTTAAATAAATGTTTGATATTACATCAATATGTATGAATTGATTTTGAAATATACATAAATTTGTTTTGTAAATATACATGAACTCGGCTCTACAGCTACACTAAGACAATATAATATGAACTGCCGTAAAATATACACCAATGTTTTATGGTGTCTAAACGTGGAAAAAAAGACAAGAAAAAATTATATGATTGTAATATGTTTTTACGTTGTTTTTTACCTTAAGTTTCCGTTTTCTGACTTTGTATTTAACCTAGTAATGTTTTGATAACGCCTTAGAATTTTTGTTTTGGTCGAATTCAGTTTGCAATTGTGCATCTGGCAGGATAGTTTGCAGTACTGTATAGATATAATCAGTTAGAGGAGCACACTGTCTACTTCCGTCTGATACACTGCAAGCCGTGCACGGTATGCTGTCTCATCAATGTGTTGGGCCCAAGACACGGCCTTTTATAGCGCCACAGCGATACTAAATGCTAAACTATCCTTTATAACCACACACTGATATTGTATATAACGCCACTACTTCCCCTTATTTGCTATATTATAACATTACACCGAACTACTTCCGTTATAACGCCATGATCTACTTCTTTATAGCGCCACGCTGTCTACAGGTTATAAGCGTATCACCGTCTACTTCCTTTATACCGCCACGCTGTCTACTTCCCTTATAACGCCACACCGTCTACTTCCCTTTATAGCGCCACACCGTCTACTTCCGTTATAACGAACGCTGTCTACTTCCCTTATAACGCCCACCGTCACTTCCCGTCTAGCGCCACACCGTCTATCCCTTATAGCGCCACACCGTCTACTTCCCTTATAACGCCCACCGTCCGTCCACACTTCCCCTTATAACGCCACACCGTCTACTTCCTTATAACGCCACACCGTCTACTTATAACGCCACCCGTTATAACGCCACACCGTCTACTTCCCTTATAACGCCACACCGTCTACTTCGTTCCCTTATAACGCCACACCGTCTACTTCCTTATAACGCCACACCGTCTACTTCCCTTATAACGCCACACCGTCTACTTCCCTTATAACGCCACACCGTCTGCTTCCCTTATAACGCCACACCGTCTACTTCCCTTATAACGCCACACCGTCTACTTCCGTTATAGCGCCACACCGTCTACTTCCCTTATAACGCCACACCGTCTACTTCCCTTATAACGCCACACCGTCTACTTCCCTTATAGCGCCACACCGTCTACTATCCGTTACTTCCCTTATAGCGCCACACCGTCTACTTCCGTTATAACGCCACGCCGTCTACTTCCCTTATAACGCCACACCGTCTACTTCCCTTATAGCGCCACACCGTCTACTTCCCTTATAGCGCCACACCGTCTACTTCCCTTATAGCGCCACACCGTCTACTTCCCTTATAGCGCCACACCGTCTACTTCCCTTATAACGCCACACCGTCTACTTCCCTTATAACGCCACACCGTCTACTTCCTTATAGCGCCACACCGTCTACTTCCCTTATAGCGCCACACCGTCTACTTCCCTTATAACGCCACACCGTCTACTTCCCTTATAGCGCCACACCGTCTACTTCCTTATTCCGTTATAACGCCACACCGTCTACTTCCCCTTATAGCGCCACACCGTCTACTTCCTTATAGCGCCTTATAGCGCCACACCGTCTACTTCCCTTATAACGCCACACCGTCTACTTCCTTATAGCGCCACACCGTCTACTTCCCTTATAACGCCACACCGTCTACTTCCTTATAACGCCACACCGTCTACTTCCCTTATAGCGCCACACCGTCTACTTACTTCCTTATAACGCCACACCGTCTACTTCCCTTATAACGCCACACTGTCTACTTCCCTTTATAACGCCACACCGTCTCTTCTACTTCCCTTATAACGCCACACTTTATAGCGCGTCTTCCCCTTATAACGCCACACTGTCTACTTCCTTATAACGCCACACCGTCTACTTCCCTTATAGCGCCACGCCGTCTACTTCCCTTATAAGCGCCACACCGTCTACTTCCCTTATAACGCCACACCGTCTACTTCCCTTATAACGCCACACCGTCTACTTCCGTTATAGCGCCACACCGTCTACTTCCCTTATAACGCCACACCGTCTACTTCCCTTATAACGCCACGCTGTCTACTTCCGTTATAGCGCCACACCGTCTACTTCCCTTATAACGCCACACCGTCTACTTCCCCTTATAGCGCCACGCCGTCTACTTCTATAACGCCACACCGTTATATAGCGCCACACCGTCTACTTCCCTTATAGCGCCACGCTGTCTACTTCCGTTATAGCGCCACACCGTCTGCTTCCGTTATAGCGCCACGCTGTCTACTTCCCTTATAACGCCACACCGTCTACTTCCGTTATAGCGCCACACCGTCTACTTCCCTTATAGCGCCACACCGTCTACTTCCCTTATAGCGCCACACCGTCTACTTCCCTTATAGCGCCACACCGTCTACTTCCCTTATAACGCCACACCGTCTACTTCCCTTATAACGCCACATTGTCTTCTAGAAGATAGAAGATGGTATTTCAAGAAACGAATACAACATAATGCAATTTATAATGCACTAAAATACGTCCTATAGCACTAAACAGCGAAGGGATACAAAACCAACAAACTGTCATGTAATATACTAGATTTTATATATATATATATATACTAGATTTTATATTAAACGTTTTAGTGCATACTTTTTACACCTGTGTATTATTTCTCTGCACTAGTTTCTCCTCCGCGGATGTGATGACACCCTGATATTTAACACAACCACGGTCGGGGTGCCGTCCCTACAGCCGTTACATGTTATCAGATGCCAAGTGGAGATTACACACCCTTTGTGTTAGATAGGTTTTCTCAATAAATAAGATATGTAACACTTAAAACACGCACTGGAGCGGAACAAACGTGTACAGAAAGATCTCCTATTTAAATAATTGAACTAAGCCGTATATTTTCTCAGAGGTCGGCCGCTCACTAGATCAGAGTTCTGCGTGCGAGTGATTTACGAGTCACTTAAAAAACAAATGTACATATTTTTTATGATATTTAAACATAAAACCTGACACTGCAAATGTAAGGCAAAACAAGCCCGACTTATTCACCTCAAGCAACATAACATGCGTTTTAATAGCATTAGTTCTAAACCGATAATTTTGACATCACTTAAACTCACCTCTGTTTTAGTATTGCCGTCCGTGTACACTGTTTCGTTACATAATTGACACTGGAAATTCTCAGGAGTTGACATGTCACTTGAAGTTTCGTCAGCATGTAATATTTAATATCATATGTAATATATACTACCCATCAAATGTAGAAACTCACTTAAAGCATTCACTATATGTTATATGTATATATATATATATATATGCATATATCGAATGTATGTGAACAGTTACGTCTTGGTGTACAGATGAATTGCACGAGGATCATGCAGCAAATTTGCTGAAAAGCATGTGCAAATACCATGTATGTGAACAGTTACGTTTTGGTGTAAAGTTTTGTTAAGAATTCACCAATTTTCACTGAGTTTTATTATGTATTGAACTCATGACAATAATCTTTTCAACGTTATGAATTTGTTTTACAATACATCAGTTCCTGTGTAAACAGTACCTTTAAACAGTATTGAATATTTTGCAAAATCTAGTTTAGAGCAGTTGACTGAAGTAAGTGGCTACATTTACACTAGTGAGTCTAAACTCTTGATGGGTAGTATATATTAACAGATCCAGCGTGTCCAATACCAGCTCCATTCGAACAGCAAAAAAATAAAGATATTTTGTATATTGATATTATATTAGTTTGAACTGTGAAATATTACGAAACAGTCGACATCATCACCGTTGCTAATTAGCAACTCTCTATCGTCAGCTACACCGTAATCACAAAACATCCTATCTTAAACCAACAATCAATTATTCCGTCATCAATTATTTTGTGAGTTTACTTCTATCAGGTGTCTTTTCTACTGATAGATAAGCATAAAGGAGTGATAGAATTATCAGCACCGACATGACTATCAGAATTAGATTATCAACTCTGTTCTATGGTGACAGAGGAATATTGTGCAGAATTCCCCATACAGGAGACCTCGCTGCAGACACGCATGCTACCTGGGGACGGTTCTAGTGGCGATATCAGCGCGAGATATCCTTCCACGACAGCTAAGCTCTTTAATGTCCAGCTCCTCCCCTTGAAAAATGTAACCAATATAAAAGAGGCATTGCGCATGCGCGCGCGAGGAACGAGCGCGATATAAACACGACAAGTTAATTTTTGATTCGATGTCGCTAAAAGCAGTGTCATTTGTGATCAGGGGCGCTACTGGGAGTTTCATCGCACGGAATGGAATCTTGGCGTCCAACCCTTGTACCCCGGCCTCCTCAGTTCGTAGGTTTTCAGGGGTAAGTGAAATGACATTTTTAATTCAAAATACGTATTATTGATTGCAGGGGAAAATCGTGTGAAAAAAATATGATTGATAATTATGATCCAACCTTTTATGACTTTTTAAAATTTTCACTCACGTTATGCTGTAGGCTAATGGTGCATCAAATTAAATTTTTTAGCATATTGTGATAGCCTTTTCCTATGGTGGTGGTGCTAATACCGACGGCACGTGCATGGCACGCGACAATCCGCGCGCGACGTAATCGAGATAAAGAGTGAAGGGGCGTTGTGATGTTCCGTCGTCACAACCGGACGCAGCAGCCACCGTAGTTGTTGTCAACGTCATATACTCATTTCAAAACTATTTTGTACACTGTAACACCCTTTATAACTAGGAAACAAGACGAATGCTAAATATATATTGTCGTTATAAACATCAAATTGAATATACGTATTCATCAGGCATTTTAACCGGTGTTGAATCAAATCATGCTGTCATATTCTCAGATAACCCCAGAAGCACAATTTCATGTTCTAAAGATCAGGTTATGAATATATTTATGCATGTATTATGAAAATAATAATGACAGTCATATTAGGGTCGTTTGTATGGCGCTGCATTCCGACTAGGAGTATTCTCAAAACGCTTACAATAAGAATGGAATTAAAAACGTTCATATTTATTTATATGCATGTGTATAAACATGTTCGTGTGTGTATGTTATTTGAAACGCAAGATTAGTTTTTAGCGGATGGCAATGCATGTATTTTGAAATTAACATCTTCAACAACTAAATGTAGTAGTAGTAGGAGCAGTAGTAGTTGTAGCAGCAGTAGTAGTAGTTGTCGTTGTAGTAGTAGTAAAAGTAGCAGCAGTAGTAGTTGTAGCAGCTGTAGAGGTTGTCGTTCGGTGTTGCACCAGTCAGTACTTTAACTTTAAACTTGTATCCTCACGATTTTCATTGAAGTTCAAAATACTGTATTTAAAGAAAATATACTTATGTGAAGATGTATATGATATTCGCTGAGAGTTTGTGTCAGTCCAACTTCCTTATCCCCACAACACGGACAGAGGTGGACTCATAGCAATAAATATTATTTTTTATCGATGATATGGTTATTAAAGTCTTTGAAGTGAAACACATAAAGGCAAGACTTTGTGGATGTCATCTTCTTTATGTTAATGGAAGCGTCGTGTCCATCAAACTAAACAAGTTGACATCCATAAATTCTTGCCTTCAATATGTTCATTTCAACTGATGTTTCTTAAGCATGGTCTCTATATTTAAAACATATCCAGACAGATATATGACAGCCTTAGATTCAATAATATTAAGAAGCGTTTTGTTTTGCAGGTTTGGTGGTGAATTAAATTTCGCAAATTGTCACAAATACTATGCTGGAATTATTCTGATTTTAAATCACAGCCAAAATCATATAAAAAATAATATATTATATAAGCTTCAATCAAACAAGATATAGGAGAAACAAACTGAATTCAGTTATTACAGATATTCTTGTTACAATTAAAACAATGTTAATGTATGCGTTACTAGACACCAAGTTGTATATGATTCGGTGAAATGGCGCCATAGCGTTCATGTTAATAGGTTGTGAGTTATCATACCGAGGACCATATGGTGCATTAGGTTTATAATATAAAGCTTTATAGAACCAGATTCGAAATAAAATACAGAAAAATCATAATTATATTTCAATAATATTATTTCAAGAAGAGGAATTATTTTTTAATAAAATGATTTATGTGATTATAATTGAAATGAACTACAAAATTATAAAAATTATGTCCTATCAAATAAACGTAGAGCAATACAAGATATTTATATTGCAATAAAATCAAGAAATATGAAATAAATCCACATTAAATAACAGACTATAACGCTCAAGTATACATGTCGAAATGCAATGTTTGATGGGATACTGGAGAGGTTTAGCTTGTTAAAGAGTGTAGAGAAGAGTTTAATACCTTGGGCCCAGCTGCTATGGGTGTTTGTTGTACCATCATGCATAATACATACTCGTATCCCCACGTTACACGCGAGCTCTGGGGCCTTGTATCCCAGTGTTACACGCGAGTATGCTAAAGCACATGCGGTGGTGTCTTTGTGCTTCTCTGAAATGCTATTATATCATCTTTCATGTTCGACTCGCTATTGTCAAACTTGAATTGTATTACATTACCTAAGATCATTTGTTAAAAATCGTAGACTGGCATATTGGAAAGAAAGGCTTAATCCGAGATTCCGTATCTTAGCTTCTGAAAACAAACACGGGGAGGATTACATGTTTTGAGGAGATAGAGACGCTGGATGTTCGTGCTCAGTGTGTAACTGTAGTAGAAGAGATAGAGAGGCTAGATGCTTGGCGCTGGGTGTGTCACTGTGGAAGAGATGCTAGATGCTTGGTGCTGGGTGTGTCACTGTGATAGAGTAGATAGAGAGGCTAGATGCTTGGTGCTGGGTGTGTCACTGTGATAGAGTAGATAGAGAGGCTAGATGCTTGGTGCTGGGGTGTCACTGTCACTAGAGGAGAGAGAGGCTAGATGCTTGGTGCTGGGTGTGTCACTGTGGAAGAGGAGATAGAGAGGCTAGATACTTGGTGCTGGGTGTGTCACTGTGATAGAGGAGATAGAGAGGCTAGATGCTTGGTGCTGGGTGTGTCACTGTGATAGAGTAGATAGAGAGGCTAGATGCTTGGTGCTGGGTGTGTCACTGTGATAGAGTAGATAGAGAGGCTAGATGCTTGGTGCTGGGTGTGTCACTGTGGAAGAGATGCTAGATACTTGGTGCTGGGTGTGTCACTGTGATAGAGGAGATAGAGAGGCTAGATACTTGGTGCTGGGTGTGTCACTGTGATAGAGGAGATAGAGAGGCTAGATACTTGGTGCTGGGTGTGTCACTGTGATAGAGGAGATAGAGAGGCTAGATGCTTGGTGCTGGGTGTGTCACTGTGATAGAGGAGATAGAGAGGCTAGATACTTGGTGCTGGGTGTGTCACTGTGTGGATAGAGAGGCTAGATACTTGGTGCTGGGTGTGTCACTGTGATAGAGGAGATAGAGAGGCTAGATACTTGGTGCTGGGTGTGTCACTGAGATAGAGGGGCTAGATACTTGGTGCTGAGTGTGTCACTGTGATAGAAGAGATAGAGAGGCTAGATACTTGGTGTTGGGTGTGTCACTGTGATAGATGAGATAGAGAGGCTAGATACTTGGTGCTGGGTGTGTCACTGTGATAGAGGAGATAGAGAGGCTAGATACTTGGTGCTGGGTGTGTCACTGTGATAGAGGAGATAGAGAGGCTAGATACTTGGTGCTGGGTGTGTCACTGTGATAGAGGAGATAGAGAGGCTAGATACTTGGTGTTGGGTGTCACTCCTGATAGGAGATAGAGAGGCTAGATCACTGGGTGTGATAGTGATAGAGAGGAGAGAGAGAGGCTAGATACTTGGTGCTGGGTGTGTCAGTGTGATAGAGGAGATAGAGAGGCTGGATACTTGGTGCTGGGTGTGATAGAGGAGATAGAGAGGCTGGATACTTGGTACTGGGTGTGTCACTGTGATAGAGGAGATAGAGACGATGGATACTTGGTGCTCTTTGGGCCATTGTGCTAGAGGAGATAGAGAGGCTAGATACTGGGTGCTGGGTGCGTGACTGTGCTAGAGGATATAGAGAGGCTAGATACTTGGTGTTGGGTGTGTCAATGTGATAGAGGAGATAGAGAGGCTAGATACTTGGTGCTCAGTGGGCCACTGTGATAGAGAGGCTAGATATTTGGTGCTGGGTGTGTCACTGTGATAAAGGAGGTACATAAGCTAGTTACTTGGTGCTTGGTGTGTCAATGTGATAGAGGAGATAGAGAGGCTACATACTTGGTGCACAGTCGGCCGCTGTGATAGAGAGGCTAGATACTTGGTGTTGGGTGAGTCAGTGTGATAGAGGAGATAGAGAGGCTAGATACTTGGTGCTGGGTGTGTCACTGTGATAGAGGAGATAGAGAGGCTAGATACTTGGTGCTGGGTGTGATAGAGGAGGTAGAGAGGCTAGATACTTGGTGCTGAGTGTGTCACTGTGATAGAGGAGATAGAGAGGCTAGATACTTGGTGCTGGGTGTGTGATAGAGGAGATAGAGAGGCTAGATACTTGGTGCTGGGTGTGTCACTGTGATAGAGGAGATAGAGAGGCTAGATAGTTGGTGCTGGGTGTGATAGAGTAGATAGAGAGGCTAGATGTTTGTGCTGGGTGTGATAGAGTGATATAGTAGATAGAGAGGCTAGATATTTGTGCTGTCTGTGGTACTGTGATAGAGTAGATAGAGAGGCTAGATGTTTGTGCTGTCTGTGGTGCACTGTGATAGAGTAGATAGAGAGGCTAGATATTTGTGCTGTCTGTGGTACTGTGATAGAGGATATAGAGAGGCTAGATACTTGGTGCTCAGTGGGCCACTGTGTTAGAGAGGTTAGATACTTGGTGCTGGGTGTGATAGAGTAGATAGAGATGCTAGATGTTTGTGCTGTTTGTGGTACTGTGATAGAGAAGATAGAGAGGCTAGATGTTTGTGCTGTTTGTGGTACTGTGATAGAGTAGATAGAGAGGCTAGATGTTTGTGCTGTTTGTGGTACTGTGATAGAGTAGATAGAGAGGCTAGATGTTTGTGCTGTTTGTGGTACTGTGATAGAGTAGATAGAGAGGCTAGATGTTTGTGCTGTTTGTGGTACTGTGATAGAGGAGATAGAGAGGCTAGATGTACTTGGTGTCTGTGGTCACTGTGATAGAGGAGATAGAGAGGCTAGATACTTTGTGCTGGGTGTGTCACTGTGATAGAGGAGATAGAGAGGCTAGATGTTTGTGCTGTTTGTGGTACTGTGATAGAGTAGATAGAGAGGCTAGATGTTTGTGCTGTTTGTGGTACTGTGATAGAGGAGATAGAGAGGCTAGATACTTGTGCTGTCTGTGGTACTGTGATAGAGTAGATAGAGAGGCTAGATGTTTGATGC